AGTCAGCAGGCACAAGTTGTTCTTAAGTCTCTAACTGCAAGGGAGCTCTCACCGTTGTCATCGTCCCAGTTATGCGACCTTAGTGACGACTGCTTGGTGACCAACACGGAGCTGGAACCCTCCGTGCCCCCCAGATGACCCACAGCCATGCTCCTCAGGCTCCTTCCCTGGACTCTGCCACCCGCAAACCCACCATAGTGTCGAGACACAAGGCAACCAACGCAGACAGGACCCCTCAAGATACCACAGCCAGGCACAGCTGATGGGGCAGCTCGGCAGACAGGGCAGGTGCAGGCCATGGACGGTCAGCAATGGCCTGCAGGGAGCCTGCAGAGCCTGGAAGCGCCTCCCCGGTCTGCAGAGCAGCAGCTCAGGGCCTCTTCTAAATACCGTGAATAGCTCTGCAGCTCTTGGCCCTGCCTCCTTACGTTGCTGAAAAATAGAAGGAAAATTCTGCTGGGTCTGATGCTGACCCCGAACAGGATGTGTGGGGGTAGGTGGTGCGCAGCGGCCTGTGTGGAAGGGTCGAGTCAGAAGAGGGTCGTGCACTCAAAATAGCGAGATGGATGTTGCCTGGAGGAGAGTCCCTTCCTGCCCACATCCAGGGCCGTCATCCTTTGCCGTCTGTGACAGGCATGTTCAAGTCAACATAAAATCAACGGCAGAGAATGTAGGCTTCTCAGCCAATCTGTTCCAGGCAGACACAAATGTTTTGTGGATACAAAGATGCCTCATTCACTCCCAGTGGGATCATTTCAATGTCCGCCCTTGCACGTTCAAGTTCATCTGCCCTCACTTCAGGGTGTAAGAAACAGTCCTTCTAAAGTAAGTCTAAATACTCAGGGGCTGGGAGAGAGACCTGGGAATGGACTCGGGGAGGCAACATGAAAAGGGATTTGTTCTGAAGGCAGGACACACAGAGCACTTGTGGAAAGGATGCCTGGTCACAGAAAGACCCCCGTGATGAACGTGTCACGCTGTGAACGAAGCTCATCCTGCCAGGTACCCTGTGAGGAAAGGAGCGTATGCGTTTTGGAGGCCAGTCTGGAGCCCATGCAGCCTGGCTCCACGACTGAAGTCCTCTCTCAGCTTCCTCACCTGCAGCTGAGGCACACACTAAAAACCCCTCATGGTGCGAACGGAGGAGTCAACGAGCTCTCTCAGGTAGAGTCAGGTCTTAGCTGCTCTCGTCATCCACAGCACCTCGTCGTGGTTGGACATAGTGTCTTGCCATGGCTAGATACTAGCAGGGTGCTGGGACCCATTCCTTGGCTCCCTGAATGCTCCTCCTGGGGTCAGAAGTCAGGGCAGGCAGAGCACATGCTGGAAAGGGTCAGAGAACAGCAGCTCGGCAACGAAAGCAAGGACCGCAATAATCCCCCTTCCGCTGTGTGCAGTCATGAACGTGGGCTCGGTGTCCCTTGGGAATTCTCCATATGACCTCATGGGTGCATGCTGTCAACTTCAAGTCTTGTCATTATGACTCAACAGAGGCTTTCTGTGATTCACTCCATGTGCCAGAGGCAGGGAGTCAGAGTGCGCTCCTAGGAAGAACACCTATCCCTGCGTTTGGATACCCCATGAAACCCATATTGCTGTGTGACCTTGGGCAGCACAGCGAACCTTCCAGTGCTGAGTCATCTCTGTGGTTAGAAGCAGTGCCGTGATCAAGAACAGATGCCATCGTGGGTCTGAGCCACCCTGAAGAAGTAAATCACACACACCATGCTATGCCCTCAGCTCCCTCTACTTCAATAGCGATGTTTTGGGAACTTCTTAACTGGCCACAAGTTTATGTAACCTCTCCTCTGCCAACTCTAATAGAGAAAAGTGCTTGAGGTTTTACAGAACAGTTATGCTCGCATAAAAACAACATCGAATTCTGCATTGTAATATGTGAACTAAATCCTGCCGAATTTCCATCACTAATGCGGTAGAGGGAAACAATGTTAGAAAGAAGGCTGTTCTGTACCTATAATTGCAAACAGTCTAGTCACTGTCAGGGGGACCAAGTACAAATAAACTCTAAGGAAGACTAAACCGCGTCACTTCTCCTGGTTGACTTCCTCATTCATTAGCAGTCATTAAACTCTGAGTCCAATTGCTAGGCTCCATGGCCTGTTGGCTCCCCAGTGCTACAAAGCCCATTAATCCAGGCACTCAGCAAATGGTGATTAGTACGGCCTGGTGACAAGCACTTGTTTACGCATCTGGCATGCAGTCGTGAGCCCAGGAGGCTGAACCCACTCAGAGCTTACAGTCAGCTGGCGAAAGAGATGGAGAAGCATGAGAACAGCGATTCCCACGATGGGGCAAACACAGGATTCCATCAGAGCCCATGGGAGCAATGGCCCAGTGTCCTCAGAACCAGCAACAGGTCAGCCCTGAACAGTTAGTAGGGCAGAAAGTGGAAACAGTATTTCAAGCAGAGGGAACAACAAATGTAAGCCCACAGAGTCAATGCACAGGGTGAGAAGCTGTGTGGTGAGAAGGAAGGGCAGAGAGTTCAACCAAGCTCAGAATCTTGGGCTTTATCTGAAGGTGGTGGGAACCACTGATGCAGGTGTGCGGAAACCATGAAGTGTGGCCTCCAGGAAACCAAGGCAAGAGGAGTTATCTGCCCACGGCCACCAGGAGTCCAAGTGGGAGAAGGAGGGTGGTGACAGGAAGAACCTCTGGCTGTGATAACTCAAAGCACCAGTGACCTGACAGGGTCAGGACCCGCTTCTCACCTGACACCGTCAGGACCCGCTTCTCACCTGGCACCGTCAGGACCCGCTTCTCACCTGGCACCGTCAGGACCCGCTTCTCACCTGGCACCGTCAGGACCCGCTTCTCACCTGGCACTGTCAGGACCCGCTTCTCAACTGACAGGGTCAGGACCCGCTTCTCACCTGACACCGTCAGGACCTGCTTCTCACCTGACAGGGTCAGGACCCGCTTCTCACCTGACACCGTCAGGACCTGCTTCTCACCTGACAGGGTCAGGACCCGCTTCTCACCTGACAGGGTCAGGACCCGCTTCTCACCTGGCACCGTCAGGACCCGCTTCTCACCTGACACCGTCAGGACCTGCTTCTCACCTGACAGGGTCAGGACCCGCTTCTCACCTGGCATGGTCAGGACCCGCTTCTCACCTGACACCGTCAGGACCCGCTTCTCACCTGACAGGGTCAGGACCCGCTTCTCACCTGACACCGTCAGGACCCGCTTCTCACCTGACAGGGTCAGGACCCGCTTCTCACCTGACACCGTCAGGACCCGCTTCTCACCTGACAGGGTCAGGACCCGCTTCTCACCTGACACCGTCAGGACCCGCTTCTCACCTGACAGGGTCAGGACCCGCTTCTCACCTGACACCGTCAGGACCCGCTTCTCACCTGACAGGGTCAGGACCCGCTTCTCACCTGACACCGTCAGGACCCGCTTCTCACCTGGCAGGGTCAGGACCCGCTTCTCACCTGGCACGGTCAGGACCCGCTTCTCACCTGACACCGTCAGGACCCGCTTCTCACCTGACAGGGTCAGGACCCGCTTCTCACCTGACACCGTCAGGACCCGCTTCTCACCTGACAGGGTCAGGACCCGCTTCTCACCTGACACCGTCAGGACCCGCTTCTCACCTGACAGGGTCAGGACCCGCTTCTCACCTGACACCGTCAGGACCCGCTTCTCACCTGACAGGGTCAGGACCCGCTTCTCACCTGGCACCGTCAGGACCCGCTTCTCACCTGGCACCGTCAGGACCCGCTTCTCACCTGACAGGGTCAGGACCCGCTTCTCACCTGGCACCGTCAGGACCCGCTTCTCACCTGGCACCGTCAGGACCCGCTTCTCACCTGACAGGGTCAGGACCCGCTTCTCACCTGGCACCGTCAGGACCCGCTTCTCACCTGGCACCGTCAGGACCCGCTTTTCACCTGACAGGGTCAGGACCCGCTTCTCACCTGACACCGTCAGGACCCGCTTCTCACCTGACACCGTCAGGACCCGCTTCTCACCTGGCACCGTCAGGACCCGCTTCTCACCTGGCACCGTCAGGACCCGCTTCTCACCTGGCACCGTCAGGACCCGCTTTTCACCTGACAGGGTCAGGACCCGCTTCTCACCTGGCACCGTCAGGACCCGCTTCTCACCTGGCACCGTCAGGACCCGCTTTTCACCTGACAGGGTCAGGACCCGCTTCTCACCTGGCACCGTCAGGACCCGCTTCTCACCTGTCACCGTCAGGACCCGCTTCTCACCTGACACCGTCAGGACCCGCTTCTCACCTGACAGGGTCAGGACCCGCTTCTCACCTGACAGGGTCAGGACCCGCTTCTCACCTGGCACCGTCAGGACCCGCTTCTCACCTGGCACCGTCAGGACCCGCTTCTCACCTGGCACCGTCAGGACCCGCTTCTCACCTGGCACCGTCAGGACCCGCTTTTCACCTGACAGGGTCAGGACCCGCTTCTCACCTGGCACCGTCAGGACCCGCTTCTCACCTGGCACCGTCAGGACCCGCTTCTCACCTGGCACCGTCAGGACCCGCTTCTCACCTGGCACCGTCAGGACCCGCTTCTCACCTGGCACCGTCAGGACCCGCTTCTCACCTGACAGGGTCAGGACCCGCTTCTCACCTGGCACCGTCAGGACCCGCTTCTCACCTGGCACCGTCAGGACCCGCTTCTCACCTGACACCGTCAGGACCCGCTTCTCACCTGACAGGGTCAGGACCCGCTTCTCACCTGACAGGGTCAGGACCCGCTTCTCACCTGGCACCGTCAGGACCCGCTTCTCACCTGGCACCGTCAGGACCCGCTTCTCACCTGGCACCGTCAGGACCCGCTTCTCACCTGGCACCGTCAGGACCCGCTTTTCACCTGACAGGGTCAGGACCCGCTTCTCACCTGGCACCGTCAGGACCCGCTTCTCACCTGGCACCGTCAGGACCCGCTTCTCACCTGACACCGTCAGGACCTGCTTCTCACCTGACAGGGTCAGGACCCGCTTCTCACCTGGCACCGTCAGGACCCGCTTCTCACCTGGCACCGTCAGGACCCGCTTTTCACCTGACAGGGTCAGGACCCGCTTCTCACCTGGCACCGTCAGGACCCGCTTCTCACTTGCACAAAGCCCTCTGTAGGCATCCCTGCTGAGTCGCAGTCATCCACGTGGTCACTCAGGGACCTCGCATCTTCCCTCCAGTGACTTGGCCTCCTCCAGCTCCTCTCCACTGGGCCCGCAGACGGGGAATGAAGAGGTGGGGGCATTTATGGACTGGACTCAAACATGGCATGCCTCCTTCCACCTATGTCCCATTAGCCAGAACTCAGTCACACAGCCCCGAGCAAGAGAGGCAGTATCACCTTGCTGTATGTCTGTGGTGGAAAAGGAAACAGGTTTTGATTAACCTTTACAGTTTCTGACACAAGGACTGATGAGAAAGATCCTTTCCACGCATGCCACAAAACACGAAACAAAAGGTGGTTGTTGACTGTATCGGTCAGCAACTGCTGCCCAACAAACATCCCAGAAACGCTGTGATGTGAAGAATCTGTGTTGTCCTGTTTGCCATGGGCTATGGATTGGCCAGGAAGCTCTGCTCATCTGGAAAGGGCTCAGCTGGTGTCCTCCAGGCTCATTCAGGTGTAGGTCCTTTGTGTAGGTCAGCTGGGGCTTGACAGTTGAGAGGGGCTGGGCTCCACAAAACTCATTCTGCAGCGTGTCAGCCCAGATGTTTCTCACAGCAGTGAGTTCCAAAATAAAGACAGGATGCATGCAAGACCTCTTGGGGCTAGCCTTGGAACCAGAACATTCCACCACATTCTACTGGCCAAAGCAAGTCACTAGACTGTGCAGGCCCAGGAACTGGAGAAACAGATCAGCCTCGAATGGGAAAATTAAAAAGTCACATTGCAAAGGCTATGGGTAGCTTTGCAGGGAGGAGGGAGAAGTGGGGTTATTTTTGCTGTCCATCTCCCAGAGAGACAGGGGCCAGAGCGCTGTGTGTGGAACGAGGTGTGGGCTCTGAGTGGAAGCTCCGGGCCAGGATGGGAACCTGAACGAGCTGCAGTCACTCCTGGGATCACCTTGTAGGTCATGGGAGGGGAAGCAAAGGAAAAGAACAGAGGTTGAAAGAGAAAGAAAAAGTAAAGTGAGAGCAGTAGAGATGGTATACTGGAAAAATCGCAGTTTAGAAGTAAAAAATGGAGAATTAAAAACAAAAACAGAAGTATCACATGGCCAAGATGTCACAGTTGTCCAAACAGAATAAACTATGACACGTTGGTAAAAGAGGGGTGCAGAGTCATAGAACAGAAATATGTATACACGCACTCACCCAAGAAGGAGGGCTGCTGTGAGCCTGTGCAGTCAGGGACGACGACCTTAGCAAGAGAACATGTGGACCAGACAGGACCATTCTGATTTCAACAAAGCTGTACTGAGCATCTCTACAGGAGCAGCCAATGTGTCCCTGTTCATTGAGGGTCCCCTGCATGCCAGGCAGTGTGCTCGACACTGGAGCACCTGTCCCTGAAGACGGAGACTGTACCCTGCCCTCAGGAGCCCACAGTCCCCGTCACTCCCTACCTCTGCAAACCAGCAAAGAAGGAAAAGTATGAGCAACGTTGCTGTGGTTGTCCAGTGTCCTCACAGCCCCCACCAGGACTGTCTCACACATTCCCCTTTCGGTGACTTGGGCTCAGCTGGTGAAGGCCCAGACTTTCTGATGTTGCCCATGGGCCGAGGGTGTGCACAGTGTCCACGTTCTGGTGGCTGTGGATGGGGCTCCCACGACCCACAGCCCTCGTATCCCGAGAAATGGGGATGCCGCCAGGCCAGCCCTTGAGTTCTCCAGGCTCCCCATGCTACTCTGAATGTTTCCGAAGGAACTCAACCGAGGGAGGTCTTAAGCTCTTCAAAAGAACTGGCACAGGCCGGGCACAGTGGCTCACGCCTGTCATCCCAGCACTTTGGGAAACCGAGGTGGGCAGATCAACTGAGGTCAGGAGTTCAAGACCATCCTGGCCAACATGGCAAAACCCTGTCTCCACTAAAAATACAAAAATTAGCTGGGCATGGTGGTGTGCATCTATACTCCCACATACTCAGGAATCTGAGGTAGGAGAATGTCTTGAACCCGTGAGACAGAGGTTGCAGTGAGCCAAGATCATGCCACTGCACTCCAGCCTGGGTGACAGAGTGAGCCTCCGTCTCAAAAAGAAAAAAAAAAAAGGAACTGCCTCAGGCTCTACCTTCTTCCCTGTGCGCTAGAAGCGCTGGGCTCTGAGCTCTCTCACCCCTCGGTCAATGTCCTTTCCCTCAGAGCAGCACATGGTGGCATCTTCTTCATCTTTGCGGTGGCACGCTAGATGAAGGCTCCATGCCTGATGATTAAGGAATCGAGAAAGCGTGTTTGTCTGTGTGTGTGTTCTCTCTCCTCTCTCTGTGCAAAGTTTTGCTTTCCGGCAAGTTGCCAAACCAAAAGTGGATTTGAATTTCAACATGAGAAAGCTTTGCTGGTCAGTAGACACCTGCCCTTTTCCAGTAGAATCAGAGCAAGAAGCCCGTAGGACACGAGATGAGATCATATAGTGATATAACAATATGTCTGCAACTATCATCCCCACTGCAAAACTCAGTTCCTACGACCACCACCAGCAGTGGCATGGTGCCGCTTCCCTGTAAGAGTTACAGTGACAAGTGTGTTTACGTGGCAAAGCCTCCTTGGAGTGGAAGGGTAGGAGACGGAAAGGACATTGTATGAATTACTATCCCTCCAGCTTAGGCTTGGACTTCGGCTATTTTTGCTATATTTCCCAATTTCTAAAAACAAAAAATGTCCCTGGCCATTCATTCGTTCTGCACATTTTTATTGAATGCCTACAATTCACCAGTAATTTGCTAGAAACGAGGTGGGCAGTGGTGAGTGAGACAGACAGGATGCACGTTATCTGTAAGGGCAGACGGGCAACGGTACCATCACACAGACAGCCCTCTGGCATTCCCTATGGAGCTCTACCGTGGCACCACAGGTGTACAGAGCATTTCCTACAGGAGCCCTAACGGGGCACACCATGCTCAACAAGCATTGTTAGCATCACACGCAAGTCTGAAAGGGGCTTGAGCCCGCTGTCGTCCACCGCTTATCTGTAGTTGCAGGAGTGTGAACTGCTGTAAGCAACTGCAGAGGTCTAGGCACTACTCACTCCTCTAGACAGAGGGCCTCATTCTACATTTGCCTTAAAAAGTATCCTCCATGGTCACTAAATAGGCAATAGAGTCCACACAGCAGCACCAGGAGCTGGAAACGCTCCTGACCCTGCTTCCGTCCAACACCTCCCCCAAAACAATACTGGAGCAGGGATAAAATGTTGTCCAGTCTTTAGATGAGGGTTCAAGGTCACGCATTCTAGAATTTCAATCCCTACTACATAGCTGAACATTTTTGGAAAGAGAATACCTCAAAGCTACTTACTTTCCCGTGTAGCTCCATTCTCCAGGAGAGAAAACGTGAAAGGTGTGCTCTTCTGTTCACCGCATAATTCCACACCAGCTGCCGACTCTCCAGTGAGAAAGCCACAAAGACAGGCATTTTGTAAAATCTTCCTTGGGCCAAACATCAAAGCAGAATGCTACTGTAAGAACACATTATGTAGAAATGAAATTTCAAGAAGCAATCAAATAAAAAATAATTCCCAAGAAGCAATCACATTTTTAAAAAAATGATGTCCAGGTTTTGTTTTGAAGTTTGGGTTCCCAATCTTTGATTTTTGTGCATGGAAGGAGGAGCAAAGATTTAATCTTACCAATCAAATTAGGAAAAACCCAAAAGGCAGCAAACAGGAACAGAGGAGGTGGCTGTTAGCAATGAGCCTGTCCAGAGAGGCAAACATAAGGGCTCCCTAAAGGCAGCCTGCGGGGAAGGAGAAAGCAGACTCTGATAACGGAGAAGAATGCTTTCAACTACGAAAGCGCCACGCTGTTCTTAATCGCAAAAGCACCGCGTTAAGCACCATGTGAGGAGATGTTGTACTGAGAAGATTGAAGAGAAAGCCAAAATGGACAACACTTCAGCCATTAGCTAAAGGGTGAAACTCAGGTCTGCAAGGCGGCGGCCCAGAGATTCAGGGAGCTCCTGGATGCCCGCTTGCATTGACTTCTCTCGGAAGGAGCTGTGTGTTTGGGAGACACGCCTCGGCCGGGGCATTCCCCCGACGGCTCATGCTCCTGCTCCTGATCATGCACAAACCCAAGTATGTCTCCGTGTCTGAGAGAATGTTCGCGTCTTCCATAAAGTCAGCTAGAGCTGGCTTGGCTCTTGTTCTGTGGTGCTTTTTGTTTTGTTTTAATAAGTTTGAAATTTAATAACGGAGTCCTTTAAAGCATAAGTGTTTTCTCTTGGGAGGAAGTACAGCCCACTCGGTTCCCATCTCTGCCAGCTCCAGGTCTGAAAATGGACAAGACTTAAGATGATGAAGACAAAACCAACAAAATGGGTTTTCATTTGTGTCTCTTAATCCGAAGATGATTAGGCTGCCCATTGAGAGGGGCTGTTTATTTAGGTAGTTTGAAAAACTGATGTCGACTAAATGCGTCTGAGTGTAATTAAATTTATAAGCACGGAGAAAAATAGGAAGTTTTATTAACTGTGGAAGGAATGTGGGTCTTTAGCTGCCCAGCCTGGTCACAAAGACAAAGGAGCGCCGTTTGCAGGGTTAAATAAACACAGTGCTTTATACTCTAGTTCAAACGCGGCCATTTGCAACAAGACTCAAGAGGCAAACACTGGTTTAGAGGTTCGAGCTCTCAGGGACAGCCATGAGCCAGTGCAGAGCTGCAGTCACTGGCAACAAGCGCCATTGAGGCACAGCTCCCAGCGGAGCCCCGACCCTCTGCGGGTCCTGCTGGTTATTTTTTCACCTTGCTGCTTGTTATGCACTCGGCCGTCCTCCACGTCGTTGGGTTGGATTTTAGTAGCCCGTCTATCAGAAGCATGGAGCTGAGGAATGTGTTCCAGCAAAAAGCAGAATGGGCAACGCGGAGAACAGCACGTGGGGAGGAGGCCGGTCAGGCAGGACTGGGCAGGGAAGGCGGGAGGACGCGTATCCGTTGATGGCACCGCTTTCCACGGATTACTTCTTCTTAAAGATCTAAGCAGATGCACTCCGGGCCAGTGTTCCCAGCTGAGATCAGCAGCTCTGTGCATCTGAAGCAGGACAAGAGGCCAGGAAGAGGCCACCGGGCCCAGCCGCAGGAGCCAAGAAGACCCGAACGGTCAACTTCCCTCTTCAAGTATCGTTTGGCCAATGAGGAGCTTGTTAATTGGTGCCAATTATTGGTTTGCCAGCAACCCCCATAGATTAATATTTCAGGAGTTAGAAACCCAGCTGAGTGTGAAAACAGCATGGACTTGGAGCTAGGACTCACATTTCAAAACTGCAGGGAAAAAAGCAAGCGAGAGAGGTTGTTCCTTGAGAAAAGAGGAAGAGACTCATTCATTTCACGAGTACTCAGGACTTTGGAAGCCTGAATCAGCTCCCCAGACACAAAAACATGGCATGCGTCTACAGATTAGATTGTATGGCTCCAAAAGCAGAGGAATGTCCCCCCGTGGCTCAAGTAGCTACGCATTTCTCCAGCAAAACGGGGCACGCTTAAACTTCCTTTGGTTAAAAAGTGCTTTTCAAGAATGTGTTTCTGAAACTAATAAAACGACTTGAAACTCTGCAATGCCTTCCTTACAAGGTGAAAGAGAACTTCATTCACCAAGTCCATTTGCTCGCTGCTCACAGCAAAGGTACAGAGACAGGAATGACATCCTTGCTCCCTATGTCTGTTTTGTTGCCTGAGGGGGTCCCAAGAAGAGCACCCTGTGAGACCGAGGCCGCATGGCAGTGTGGGGCCCGCTGCCACTGCACCAGCTTCAGCAAGCAGCCCAGGCCCCTCTCCTGGTCCTCACACTTCAGGCGGGCGGTTGTCCCCAGTTCCCAGCAGGGCCCAGACCTCACCAGACTCCTCCCTGACTCTCCCAGACCCACAGGGGCCCCCATCCCACCATCCTGGGAATCCCCACCCTTCTCCCTGGCTCACCCCATCCCTAGCTCCCACCCGGACCCCACCCAGACCCAGGCTTCCCTCGCCTCCCCGCCACCAGTCCCCATTCACCCCTGCTCCTCCTACATCCATCCCAACTTCCTCCCCCACCGGCCTCCCACCCCCGACTCCCGGCTCCCCCGCTCTGCGGCGCCCCCTCCCTCCCCTCCCCGGAGCGCTCCCCGCCTGCCTATCATCTTGCTCTAATTGTTTCCAGATTCGTGTGGGAGGTCAGGGCCCGGGAGTGCTGCTTCATGCCAAGTTTATAAACAGAGCAGTGTTTCCAGATGGCCGCTGGCTCCAGCCTGGCGAGCAGGTTGATTGGGACCAGAATAACAACAGGTGGAGAGCAGACAATGAGTTCCTTGACACTTAGTTACTCCCTGGGCTTTTTCTTCCTCTTCCAGCCCTGCCTCCATCTGCCTGAGCCACCACCAGCGGGTTTCCAGAGCCCTCAAAGGAGCAGGGGGCGGTGGAATGCGAGAGTGAGCAGCCATGTCCCGCGCGGGTGGCAAGGGGCACCGCGGCGAGGCTGCATCCCGAGGCTGAGCGGGGCCTGGACTGCGGGGCCGCCCGGCTGGGAAGGGGCTCTGTTCCGTCAGCAAAACACCCACGTGGCGCCAAGGGGAAAAGGACACGGAGGGCCCCTCGGCTGGACCCCTGAGTCCTGCCGGGAGCAGGCGAGAGTCGCGGCGCAGAACGGGGAGCGGTTCTTGGTGAGGCAGAGATTCTGGGAAGTGTCTAACGGTTCTCTGAACCGGCATTGACCAGGAGGCCCACATCCCATTCAGATGGCCCAGGGGTTGAAGTAGAAGCAAATCCGCTAGAGCTTGAGCTGGAAATCTGCGCGCGTCCAAATAGGCCCGTGGAGCCCGCCCTGCAGACCTGGCTCCCCCAGCCTCATCCCGGCCAGCGGGGCGGGCGGGGCTCCTGGGGAAGAACAGCCCCCGGCCAGCCGCCTTATGAAGTGCAACCAAGGGTTTCAGTAAACAGCAGCAGAGGCACCAGATGCCTCTAGTTAAACATGGAATTGCACAGCAAGCCCTGCACGGATGGAGAAACCGCCCCACGGACGTGCACAGGCGGGAGGCAATTACAAGTCACCCCGTCCTGTCCGGCGAGCTGTCCCCTTGCGCCCTGAGCCCGGGCTGGTGACAGCAGAGCCCTGGCAGCGTGCCTGTGAGATCAGGCACGGCCCAGTCGGGACAGCCTCTGGGGAGATGATGCAGCCGCCCGGGGCCAGGCGCCCTGCGCTGGGAAGGATGACCATGGCACCGGCCTTCAAACCCCCGACCTACAAAAAGGCTGACAGAAGAAAGCGCCTGCGAAAATAAAGCATGTCAATATCAAAAGTATGTGTGAAGGGCCTTCCAGCTAAGGCTAGATTATCTCTGTGAGTCCTTTGAGTCTGAGTTTCTACTTATAAAATGTAACCGGACACTCTGCCTTTGAAGATTGGGGATCCGGGACCAGGGCTGTGCGATTTATCTGAACTGACAGAGTCGTTAGAGCCTGGGCGCCGGGTATCTCCCCCGCCCCTCTGGCTCGCCCATCCCAGACCCCGAATCACTGCAAGCCACGGTATCCCTACGTTTTAAAGCACATTTGTTTAAAGTGTGTCATTGCTGTGTGTGTGTTTCACAGCAAAATGCAGGCTATCTCACCTGCTAGCCTAAGATGTTACCCTTAGTCCGTGCAGGATCTTTTCATAGAAAGAACATAAATTCACATTTGTTTAGTTATCGTCTGTGTTTTCTACGCAGAAATTGCTTACAAAGGTTGTGATCTGTAAGGAGTTCTTAAGAAAAACAAATCATGCCTTAAAGCACAACAAAAACGAGTGCTACAGAATAAATTCATGACTAGGGCAATGAGTGGCGAGCCGGCAGAGGGGAGCCTGTGCCCAGGACTCCGCCTGCTTACCAGCTAGGTTCCAGCCTCAGAAAGTCACCTAGTGAAGTCAGCCCCCCTGAGGGGATGTTACCTCTAGAGGAGCATCTGTGGAAGATGCTGGACATTTCCTGGAGAGATAGCATTGCTGATGACAGGTGCCCTGTGCAAACGTTGTAGCTCCCACCGTACTTAGAAATACCAGAAAGAACTGCATTTGTCATCATGAATGAGGCCTGGCACGTAATCACGGATGCACTTGGGAACAAGCTCTCCCCAACAGGAACGAAGCGCCAGCAGCTGAAGAGATTCCACCAGCCGCTGCCCTGGGAGTGCCTGGTGACATTACCCTGCAGCTGCGGAAGCCACGGCGAGGTCCTGCAGCACGGCCACCCTTGTCATGCAGAAGGACCTTTTCCCACTTGTGACTGACAATGAAATTTTGTTCCCAACCACGAAACACTGAGACACCCCACTGTGACCTCCACTGAATCTACCGGAACAGGGACACACAATTTGTCCCTACAAACTGCAAATGCCAGGTTAAAGGGAAAGCAACTTTTATCTCGTAAATGTTTAACGCTTCTCTCCCCACACTCAACGGAGAGTGGAATTTGTCTTGGCTCTCTGCTCTATGCAATTACAAACATGTAGCCAAAAAACTGAGCTAATGCTAACATTTAGAGAGTCAAAATGTTATCAATGACACAGCACTTCCTGACTTCATTGATAAATAGAAAACAGTATTTTAGGATTAGAAGTGTTGAATCATATGGGAGCTCTGGCTTTACCGCATGCCAGTTTTTGAATTCCCTTTGAAGGCCAAGATGTAAAACCTGAAACAGGAAAAGCAGCATTTTCATCAGAAAATTTTATTTTTTTAATTTGGAATTCATTGCACCTTTGCTAATACAGACCAAAGAATTTCAGCAAACACAACTCATTTGTTATTTTACATGCTGGTGCGCTCAGGCAGATGGGGATGGCGAGGTCAAGGTGTATGGGGGGCTTTAAATCACAGGTATTTATCGGCAGTGCTATCCTACAAAGCACACACAAACGCCGCCTGAGATGAAACTTGTTTAGAAACTAGCGCACTGCTCTTGAAGTTAAGCAGCCAAGATATCATTTATGTAACGCTTAAAACACTTCTAACCAGAATTAAGGGATTTTTTCCCTCTTAAACTTGCCAAGCAACTGAAAAGACTAGTGGGGAGGAGGTGGGAAATGCCATTTGCAATCCTGAAAGAGCCAAGTAAGCCATCCTTGGTGACTTCACCCACATTCTCTCCCAATGGAGTATTTGTTAGTGCCGGCTTTAGATTTTAGGGGTTTCAAAATGTAGATGATAATTATGTAGTTTGTACAGCGTTTTTCTTGAAGTTAACCCCTCCCAGCCATCCTGTCCTCCTGCTTTTCCAAAAGCCCATCCCCATTCATGCAATGGCCGCACCCTCCACTGGCCACTCTCGCTGGTACTGAGTCCACCCTGAGCCGTGCCCATGTGGGCGCAGCCAGCGCGTAAAAATAGGAGGCATGACTAGACCCAGGTTTGCGACCTTGTGTGCCTTCTCCCCTAACTCAAGGCACAATCAGCAGACTACACAACCTCTCTCCAAGCCAGTTTTAATCCCATTAGGAACTCCAATTAACACCAGTTGGTGTTCTCTGCATAAGGAAACAAAGCAATTATGGGCCTCACACTGTGCCTAAGAAAATGGCAAAGCTCATCAAAGTGATACTGCCAATACAGCGAAATTGGCAGGTTGACCCAAACAAACCCTCCATGGCGGTTTCGGGTCGCCAGCCGCACTGTTTCGGCTTTGCTTCTGTGTAAATGACTTTTACTCTAATTGTAATTTCAGTTTTTCTTTTGTTTTGCCCTCCAAATATACTTCTGCAGCAGCATGGCTAAATGTGCAGCATGTTTCAAAGCTTAAATTGGGGCAGTGAACGTGGAATTGCGAGCAAAAGCGGCATTCGTGAGCAGGCAGTACCCACTTCGTGAGCAGCTGGTGCCCAGAACGCTGCGGCGCTGAGAAGAGGCCTTCAGCAAACACCCATCTGACACTGACCGGAACAGTCACAGACAGATCCAGATGCACCCAAATGAGCCTCGTAAATTAACAAACAATATCTGCAGGCTTCTGATTCAGCAACCTCGAGCTACACCTTATAATGTTACTCAGTTATGCTGCCTTTCAGGCAACTACGGGATGTTAAAAGCAGCAGAGAAGAGGGCTCTGACATCACGCTGATGAAACAGACATGACTCTCAGCAATAAACCTCTTCTGTGCTGTTCATGTAACTCAATTTAAAGTTTTTGGGATGACAGTGCCTTGCAAGGCTAGTGCGGGATCTCCATTGTTTAACATTGTAAACTAAGCATGTGGCCAGACGCTAAATCTAATCTGCTGGGAGAGTTAACATCTTTACTGTGCAAGCAAAGCAAACAGGCCCTCGTTCACCAGGGCTCTGATCATCCACAGACAGAGAGACACCGCCACTGACCTGGGCTTTCTCTGACACAGAGTCGCTGCCTGTGACTGTCAGAGCGTTGGCTGTATACTCAAATGTATTCATGATTATAAAGAACTTGTCAGCTCTGAATAAAAGAATCTATCGACTGCCATTTTCTTTTACTGTGAATTCACTTTACAAAAAAAGAAGATCTCCTGAAACCTGAAATGAAGGCTCTTACTCCACAGAATTGCTGAAGAATGGCCTGCATCAGCAGAGGGCAATGATAACCAGGAGATGGATGAGCTTTAAAAATAAAATTAATTCCATAGCAAAGCAGAGTTGCCCAAGCCAAAATGCTCAGATGATATCATATGAGATATTAGTTGGAAGAAAAATAGACTTCCCTTTGCACTTTTTTTTTTCTGAGACAGTCTCACTCTGTTGCCCAGGCTGGGGTGCAGTGGCATGATCTCAGCTCACTGCAATCTCTGCCTCCTAAGTTTCAGCAATTCTCATGCTTCAGCCACACAAGAGGCTGGTATTACAGGCGCGCACCACTACACACAGCTAATTTTTGTATTTCTTTAGTAGT